ATCCACTCCTTCTTCTGCAGGTTAGCATTTGGCTACTGCTAACAGCCCAACGAGTGATACTTTGTATCCACCAAGGCAACCAAGACCAGAAGGTTTTAAACTTCAGAGTGAAGTGAGATTCAGCTGGGAGCTTACTAAGGATACAAAATCCCTCAACCTTACTCTGCAAATTCTGACCCCGCATGTCTGGGATAGGGAGGGCTCAATTATTTGCTTCCCAAGTAATTGCTATACAAGCGTAACAAACACACCTTTACAACTACATCAAGCAAGATGGAATTGTCACTTTACTCAAACTTACACAAACTACTTAACCAAATTCAAATAAAAAATAGGCCAGGAGTAGTTCCGGTTTTGATTTAAATAATCAAATCATATTCCCAAAGGTTGGAGAGAGTAACATGAGAGAGGCGAGGTCATGGGGAGGAAAAGAAGTCTGGACTCTAGAAATCTCAGCAGCTATGAAGACTCACCTCATCTTGTACGTCCTTCTTGATAAGAAAAGGGAGATTCCTGGCTGTTGTCATGAGAATGTCAGCTGCCTGCTCCATGGAGAGGAAGGGAAGAATACGGGCAACCATCCTCTTCCCTTTCCGGATACACATGATCTGCACAAAGTGGTCATCACTTGGCCTGCATGGGAAGAAAAATGCCAACTCAGGTCAGCAAGGGGAAGATAAGAGACCCTCGTGTTTGAAGGACTATCCTGTGCATTTGCTTTCACTCTACAATTATTTGAACTAAGAAAGGTTGGAATTACTTGTCTAACTTTAAACTGAGTAATGAGAACATGTCTGGTGGCGTAGTGCCTAAGGCATTTGATTGCTGACCGAAGGCTGGAGGTTCAAACCCACCAGGCACTCCTTGGAAGGAAGGCTGGGCAATCTACTTCCATAGAGATACCGCCTCGCAAACCCAAGGAGGGGTCACTATGAGTCAGATCTGACTCAATGGCAAAAACACAACAACAAACTGAGTAATAAAGTCATCTTTCAAGTTTTGGAAATATAGAAAATCACCATTTCACAAATTCTAAGTTCAAAAATTTGGCCAAACTATATGCACTTACTTCCTTTCTTAACCTTTAAGTGACTACACGTGATTAATGTACTAAAATCTGAAAAAATATATAAACAAAAAGAAAATAAAAACATAATTCTGGAGATAATTTTGTTAGTGTTACCATTAAAAAAACCTGTGTGCTGTGTATCGTATGTATTTTTCCTCATAAATAAATGGTGATGGAAAACTGTGGGAATAATAAATGGTGATGGTTGAACCACATGAAAAATGCATCTGACGTTGCTGAACTGGACACGGAAGGCTCTTAAGACGGCAAATGTGGCTCCCACAACACTGGTATGTGCCCACGCACAGAATGTGCACAGGTAACAATAGCCAAGGGGGGTTTACAGTTTGAAAAAACTGTATAACACGCGTGTTATCTGTGTACAAAATATGGTGAATGCGCACAGAAATAGGCCCATAAAATCCATATGATTTTGTAATTTGATTTTCTTCACTCAGTAACTTACTGTGAACACTTTTATCACATCAATACATATTCTTCAATTACGTCTTAATGGCTGCATAGCATTCCAGTGCGTGGTTAAATCATACTTACTCAACCAGTCCCCTTTTGTCTGCCCAACTCCAGAACAGTCTTGTCCTTAGGTTCTGTTTTATGTGTGCATGTCCTGCTTTAGAAGGGTTACCAATTCTCTTGAAGGGCAGGGCGTAAGGCAGTCAGTTATTAGGAGACACACCCCTCTAGCATTAGTGAAATGAGTATTTGTGATTTATAGAACATTTCACCATTAGCAAGATTCTGTGCCGGCTACTGGTTGTAGAGATGAGAGAGAGAGAGAGAAAAAGGCCTAGTCTTTAAAGAGCTTGGTTCTTATTGGAAGACTGACATGAATACTCTATGTGAAGTCCAGGGGAATATAAATGTTTATACTTCCCATCTTAGTAGGAAAGAAAATACATAAGAGATGGCAAGGACCATAGGTACAGTCAATAAATTCAAACACAACAACAAAACAATGCAACACATTGCCATCGAGTCAGATCCGACTCATAGGACCCCTCTTTGGGTTTCTGAGGTGGTATCACTATGCAAGTAGATTGCCCAACCTTCCTTCAGAGGAGTGGCTGGTGGGTTTGAACTGCCAGCCTTCTGGTTAGCAGTCAAATGCCTTAGGCACTATGCCACCAGAGCTCCTAATTCAAAGACAAACCAAACAACATGCTCTGGTGTATGTTGAGTACCCAGCCCAGTTCCTGACAGACAGGAAATGTATATCTGCTGAGTAAATGAATACCACACATTGAAAGGAGCTCCAGCACACCAGTGCCTGCGGATCAGAAAGGGCGGCAGTCTGAACCCAGAGCTGCTCTACGGGACAAAGAGGAGGCGGTCTGCTTCTGAAAAGATTTACAACCTTGTAATTAACTCCACGGCAGTGGGTTGCGTTTGGTTTATAGATATTCAGGGTAAAGAGAGACTTCTGTTTTCCTGGCCGGAGAGGATTATAGGGAATGTTTTCTAGGAGGAGGCATTTGAGTTGGGCCAAAAGGACACACGTGGAGCTTACAGAGACGGCAGGGAAAGGGATCTGAAAAGGCTCAAATGTGTTAAGTGGTAGAGGAAAAAGTCTCGCTCATCTGTGTTTTCTTCAAAGCGTGTGATTTGTACCTCTCTTGTCCAGGCAACTTCCCCCTCAGGTTGTCATACATGCTGCAAATGTTGTGCTTTCTCTCATCCACCAGGGCAGGCCGCTCTTCTTCCAGACTCAGGAGATAGCGTCTTTCATAATCCTCTACCTCCAGGAGTAAACTGTACGTCTAAGGAGACACAAAGCAGGCCACAGGCACCGTAGGTCAAGGGCACAAAGGATCGAAGAAGCCGCCCCACAGTTTGGGATTACCAGAAAAAGAGAAGATGAAGAATCACTGTAGTAAGACTTGTGGAGAGAGGGGAGACAGTACCCCCTTTAAATTCAGAAACATAGTGAAATAACATCAAAAATTCTTTTTTTAAATGCATTTTATTGAAATATAATTTATGTACAGTGAAATACACAAAACTAAAGTGACATGGGTCAATGCATTTTTTTTTTTTTTTTGCAGTGTTCCCTCCCATCCCCTCCCACCCTGGCAACCAGCAAAGAAAGTTTCCCTCTCTATATAAACCTTTCCTTGACCCTCCACAACAACAAACTAATACTGTATTTGTCCTTCCGTGATTGATTTATTAGTGAAATAACATAAAAAATTCTTGCAACACCATTCTTTGTCCCTCCCTCAGCCCTAGCCCAGAAGATCGGGCAGTAAAATGATGACATGCTTTCCAAGTTTTCCCGCTGCAACAACGGCACCATGTTCAATAAACAGTGTGTACCACCACCACCTTTAAGTGACTACACTTTAAGGTCTATTTGTAAAAATGGTAACAGTTCACCTTATTACTGGGTGGCAGAGACTGTTCCAAGCACTTTTTCACTGAATACTTGCCACAACCCAGTGAGAGATACTATTACCAGCCCTGTTCTCAGATGAAGAAAACGGTGACGACACAGGTAAACACCCGTCCCAGGTGACACCGGGCAGAAGAGGCTCCAGAGTCTGTGCTTTTAACCCCGGTGCTTCATGCCTCGCACATGGAGTTTACCCTTCACAAACTACTCGCTTAGATCTCGACACAAGGACCACTGCCTTCTAGGTCTGCTTGTCAACTGCACCCTCCCTCCTGGATAAATTTTTCTAACTGCACTATGTTAATTTATTATTATTTTTTTTTTAATAGAAACATGTAAAAATAACTGGCATTGAGGTCTTTATGAAAATTCTTCCTGGTGGGGTGGAACAGTTTGCAAACAGCGAGGAGGCTCATGTCGTTTGTGTAAAATTACAGTCTATATGACCTCATTTTTCTTAGAACCCAACATAGAATGCCTAGTACCTTGGGAGTATCCAATAAGTTATCTATGAACTGACTAATAGATTTAATTAGTCTTAGTCACAACAGTGTAAATTTTATTCTCATTTTACCAGGTTCAGAAAGGTGACCTGCCCAAAGCCTGCTCGGCTATTAGGTGAATAAGCTGGGACAAAGACCGGTGCTCTTTCCATGGCGCCAAAGGTGAGGGATAGCACACTCCTAGGGAGCTCTGGTGCACAACAGGCAGTTAATATGCAAACAGCCATAATCAAAACCACAGAGCCTGATTGGCTGCTCACTATTCTGTACACATATATCGGACAAGTCCTCATTTGAAATTGACGATAGTGACTTACTTTCTCAATTATGACAAGGGTTTTTCGTCTCTTGTCCCGAACCTGCTTTTCTTTTGTCTCCTAAAAGAGGACAAGATGATTCAGTGTCAGTCCTTTACAACACTGTGAAAAATAATTTGCTAAGTGTGTATCTGTAGCTTCATTTCTGCAACTACTCTGAGAATACTGACACTCCTGTTCTCACAAGTGAAAACACCACAAATATCCTAAAGATGATTAAATCACCCACATCTAAACTAGTAAACTGGGTTCTGGACAGGCCAAAGGTAACTGGAAAATGCAGGAGAGGAGGACAATATCACAGGAAAATCTTAAAACACACAGAAATGATGGCTGTTTTAAACAGCACACTGGAGTAAGGAGGCATTTCTGGTTGTAGGCAGTGTTTCCCACTTGGCTGCCTGGGTGACGCAGTGTCAGTAGTTCAGCACACCTGTGGGGACCCAGGATGCCATGGCAGGCCAGGGGAGACGCTCCAGGCCCACCAGAAACAACTCCGTCAACCCAGATCCCATTCCCCAGCGACCCTAAAATAAGCAATAATGATGCAGACTTTCCTAACCACACAATTCTGCTAACACTCACGTCATCCTCGCTCCGGGATGTGACAACAGCATCGATCATCTTTCGGGGATTATTCACACTAGAGACGGTGAGTTTTCCCAGAGAGCCCTCAAACTGCACTGCAAGGACAGAAAAGTCACAACAATGTAAAAACTCAGCCATTCAGGCAGGAAGCTGTCAAAGACGAGCTTGACATCCCCTATTCATCTCCCCTATATCCCCTAATGATTCACAAGAATCATGTAGCACCTGAAGCACTCCCTTCTGAAACGGCTCCTTCCCCATTTTCTGTTGTTGCAATAATCAAAACAACAACAACAAAAATCTAATGTATTTCCTCTTCTTTACCTATTTTAGGGGTACTACAAATTTTAGCCGGAAGGAAGGTTGGGCAATCCTACTTCCGTAGTGATACTGCCTCGGAAACCCAAGGAGGGGTCGCTATGCGTCGGGGCCGACTCGACGGCACATAACAACAACAACAACAACAAATTTTAACAGGAGCTCTGGTAGCATAGTGCCTAAGGCACTTGACTGCTAACCAGAAGGCTGGTGGTTCAAACCCACCAGCCTCTCCTCGGAAGGAAGGTTGGGCAATCTACTTCTGTAGTGATACCATCTTGGAAACCCAAGGAGGGGTCGCTATGAGTCAGGTCTGACTCCACGGCACATAAACAACAACAACACAAATTGTAACAGGTTTCAAAAATCACGGAATCTCAAGTAGAAAAGGGCAGGGCCCGAAAGGTCATCTGTGTACCATTCAGTCCCTCTGGAGCAAAGGCTGACCTTCGCATTTATTAAGCGCAGTGGTTGTAAATCTGTTTCAAACATCTCCACGTATCCATCCATATACAGGCAGCCCCGGGTCATGAACGTCTCACTTATGGACAACTTGTACTTATCTTTTAACATTGGGCAAATATGCCCTCTCTTTGAAATGATTAAGGAGCTCTGGTAGCACAGTGCCTAAGGCATCTGACTGCTAACCGGAACATTGGTGGTTCTAACGATTTACTGCCTCGGAAACCCAACGGGGGTCACTGGTGAGTTGGAATCGATTTCGTGACAGTGGGTTTGGGTGCTTTTGGTTTGAATGACTGAACTAAGCCCTACTTGCAACATATTCTTCATTACAATCACCTTCACTTACTGTACTTGCAGGTTTTAAATCACTGAAAAGACTTCAAGACCTTTTCCTGTACAAAAGTAAGGCTACTAAGAACTGCATGCACCTGTTCTGACTTACCTACAGACTCAACTTAAAGATACACTTAGGAATGGATCTTGTTCACAACCCGGGGGCTGCCTGTGCACAGTTACTTATCTCTGATCCCACCAGCAGCATCTCAAGGTCTCCAATCAAGGGCATGGGGAAAAGGACCTTACCTGGCTTATAGGCGTGCTCCAGTTTGGCCACCTGAGGGGTAATAAGCTTGGTGCGCTCTTTCTTAGGGCCGTCACCTTGTATCTCTTCGGCAGCTGACAGTTTCTCCAGTTTCTCAAAGTAATTCTACCAGACAAGAAGATGATGTAAGTTGCACACGGTGCTCATCACCATTAAATAACTACTCTACACCAGCAGCAGGAACACAAACTTGAACTCTAGAAATGGACGGCGCTCTGAATTAATGCTTGATCGCAATAAACTTACTTTATCAAAAAATTTCAGTTTTCCAACGAGTTAGTAATCAATGGAAATGTTTTTAAAGTTAGACTGCCAATAGAAAGAATCAAACTATGGTGCCAAAGAGATTTGACAATGTTGATCTGAAGGCCTCTGTGCAAAAAGAGTAAAATGCATTTAGCAAACCATGCAGTGAAGAGGAGAGGCTCACCAGCTTGAGAAGAGGAGAAAATGTGCTTAGTAAAGTCTTACTCACTTGAAGATGATCTCAAAAGAAACTCCTGCCACGTTTGAACAAGTGTCCTCACCAGAGCCAAGGGCCAAACTCTGGTCCTCCTTCATTACCATAAACTCACTGCCTCCTCAGGTTTCTACCTAATCTTTCAAGTTGCCATTGTCAATTTGACAACAGACAGTTCTTTTAAGAACATAATGCTCAAGGTACAACTCCTTCTTCTTTTTGTATTAGTTAAGCTAAACCAGTGTTCAGTTTTAAGAAGACTTCAGGGATATTTTTGGTTTAAGATTTAAAGGTTATCTCAGGGTAACATATCCAGGGATTCATCCACTTTCCATGGCTCCAGAGACTGTAGAGTCCATGAAAATTTGAAATTCCGTTTGACATTTTCCTCGTTTTGATCAGGCTTCTCCTATGGAATCTTTGATCCAATGTTCAGTAATGGTCCAGTACCTGGGGACCGTCCCGTTCTTCTGGTCTCATGGCAAAGGAGGCCATTATCGTGGAGGCAGTCAGCCGCAAGTTTCACACCCTCCTCCCATTCCTGACTCTTCTTCCTGGGTTGCTCCAGGTGGACAGAGACCAATTGTGCACTGGATCGTTGCCTGCAAGCTTTCTAAGACCCCACGCATTACAGAACAAACTATGAGGCTCCACCATTTTGCATTCCTGCCAGCAATGAAAAAGGGCTCTGATTTCACCATATCCTCACCAACATTTGTTATTATTATTATTTAAAATCTTAGCCATGCTGGTTGGAATGTAATGGTATCTCACTGTTTTTGATTTATATCTCTGATGGCTAATGCAAACTCTTATTTCTAAAACCAGCAAACAGCAATTACCTGATAATAAAAATCATCCAGGTAGGGGTCAGTGCTTTGCAGTTGCATCATCTGGATCTTAGAGACCCAATCCTTCTCTCGCTGCAGCATGAGATTGGCATACGGATCTTTTCGAAGATGATCTTGATGACTGCTCCGATGACTTCCTCTATCTCCTGCACCATTGAGATTCCGATGCTGACTGAAAGCAAATAAATGCCACATTGACTCCAAGTGGTTACAGCAATGATGCCTTATAACTATACAGCAAACAAACCATGCCTATTTTAAAAAAAGAAAAACAAGATTCCCCTTTGCTTTTGTAAAAAGGAGTGAACAAAGAAATTAAATCTTAACAGACTTTAAGCATAACTCAACGTTATGCTCTTCACGTAAAGTGCTATACAACACGTAAGAAATAAAACCATGATCTAAGTGCCTATCATATGCTTAGCACTTTCACCTATGGATTTTTGTATAAGCCCTAAGTAACCATATGGAGGAGGTCATTTTATTTTCTCCACTTAAGACCAAAAACTTAGGCCAAGGGAGATCAAGTTTCTTGTCTAAAGTCATAAAGATTGGAACATATGCCAGTTTCAGTCCAAAGTCTACATACTTTTTTCAGCTCTGAAAAACTGCAACATCTCAGTGAGATCTCAAAATACATCACTTGCAAGTATCAAGAGACTTCTGTGTGGTGCCACTAAACTTCAAGATTTTTGATCAACATAATTACAGCTCAGAGAATATTATAACACCTATTTATCCACCATCTAGGTTTAACGACAAAAATATTTTTTGGCCAAACTTGCATCACATATTAAAAAAGTAATAGTAAAGTAACGCGGTGTTATATTTACAAATGAAGGCCTGCTTGCACCCCTTAGATTCCATTTTCTAGTGTCCCATCCTTCTCAGACAAACCACTCTCTGGGCTTCACGATGCAATCACTGAAATGTTTTTATACTTTCACTACTTCTCTGTAGGTTTAGTATTATAAATACTAAACATTATGATATGAGCTGCTCCTTGCTTCTTCACTCAACATTATGCTCTTCACATTTATCCACGTTGATAACATACCCACCCGCTAGGATGTGATGTGTGTACAATTTCAACTTTCTTACATACTGCCAAATTTTCTCTCAAGAGGCTGTACACCCCAGCCTTTGCAGGTGGAGATGATTTATGTTTTGCCTATGTGATGGTACAAAATGGCTACCTTGTTTTAATTTGCACTTCTCTAATTACGAGTGGGGAGCTCTGGTGGCATAGTGCCTAAGGCACTTGACTGCTAACCACAAGGCTGGCAGTTCAAATCCACCTTCCTTCTCGGAAGGAAGGCTGGGAAATCTACTTCCGTAGTGATACTGCCTCGGAAACCCAAGGAGGGGTCGCTATGATTGGGGCCGACTTGACGGCATATGACAACAACAACAATTACGAGTGAGCTTGAACATCTGTTCATGTTTATGAGCCGCTTGGGTTTTCTCTTCTGGTGTTAAAGAGGCAGGGAGGCCACATTTTCTGACCTCCTCTAATACCACAATAGGAAGACAGAGTCACTATCAGTAACCCAAGGCCTATTCCTCCAAGGCCAGACATTCTGCCTCCCTCCAGCCCTTTCACCAACGTTCCTCCCAAAGCACCCATCACCTGTCTCCTGGGTTTGATAATTCGCTGCAGTGGCCACACAGAACTCAGATTACAAGGTTTATTAGGGAAGCACCAGGCTACAATTCAAGTTCAGGAAAAATGCTCAGTCTCTCTTCCAGCCCACCGTCTCTCAGCCAACGGTCTCTCTCAGTCTCTCTCCCAGCAGTGCGTGTCCCTAGGTGTCTCACTCAGCAATGCGTGTCTCTTGTTTCTCTTTCCCAGCAGCACGTGTCTCTTTCAGCAGCACGTCTTCCTCAACCAGCAGTCAGAGAAACCTCTGCCTCTAGAAGGCCTCCTTTTGAGCCTGGCAGAGTGGCCAAACTAGCCAACCACAGCATCAGAATTCTAAGCACCTGAGAGAGAGAGCGAACTTTCCAGAACATTGCTCCACTGCCACTCCCAAAAGAAATACCCCAGGTGGATAATTTTTACAATTAGGAGCTCCTCAGTTGCTCACAGCAAATTCTACCACGGAGTTTACAAAGACTCACGGCTAGAAAGCTCTGATAGCATAGTACCTAAGGCACTTGACTGCTAACCAGAAGGCTGGCGGTTCAAACCCACCAGCCACTCCTCGGAAAGAAGATGGGGCAATCTACTTCCGTAGTGATACTGCCTCAGAAACCCAAGGAGGGGTTGCTATGAGTCGGGTCCGACTCCATGGCACATAACAACAACGTGACTAGAAAAGCCATACCAGGTAATTTACTACACCGCAGGCCACCCCCTGGCGTTTCTAGCCATTATTCCATCCTTTTTATACTTCAAAAATTAACATACCCTTCACCATCAGTTTAAGAATAACCACACCCATGAAAGTGTGTAAGCCAGCCACTTCATGCCTTTATCTCCCCCCATTTCAGAGAGCCAATTTCTAATTTGCCCATCCCTACCAAACCAGTACTCTGAGGAGACACGCATGGTTCGTTCTCTCTGGAGAATCTTCTGTTCTGCTTGGAAACTTCAGGCATCTGGATCCATAAACAACCAAATTCCGCAACAGTGCAAGCCATCAAACTGCAGCAACTTAACACCAGCTCAGTGTCAGGTATCTTCCTCTTCGTTTGGTCAGGTTCTGGTCAGCTCAGCCCTAGCCATCCCAGCTAGGTCATGGGTACCAGCTGCCAAGTTTGGAAGTCACACTCTTCCCTTCACTTCAGACCAGCCAGCACCTTCTCCCACATCTTCAGTCCTCAGGGACTATTTCAATGCCCGTAGGCTCACAACTCCTTACACTTCAGACCAGCCAGCCCTTCCTCTCATCCCCAGCCTCCATGGCCTAGGTCAAAGAGTACCAAACTCAGCCCATTTCTTCTTTGCTGCACTTCCCCTATTTCCACTCAAGTGGACCCAGGTAGTCACAAGCGAGCAGCATACAAGCCGAATGCTCGCTGGCTTCCTTTAACTTTCAGACCTAGAAGGGATTTCTCTCATGGATCATGTCTTTCCTGCCTTGATGCACCCAAACCCTATCTGCTTGCTCGAAATTCAAAAAGCCAAAACAGTCATTTTTTATTTTTTTCCTCTCTTCAGGTCCTTTCTTCTGCAAATCTTCTGTTCCCTCAGTAGTACTGGGTGGGGCTCAGGTTTTCTACCTAAACTCCTAGTATTCTACACACAGGGCTTAAAACAAAAGCCTGTGTTTCTGCTGGGCAAATTCTATTTCCCCTTTTAAACATATCCAGTCAAGTATCAGCTGGAGGCAGACTTACACTCTCTCTGTTATCCACATCCCATAATCGCTCTCTGTTATCCACACCCTATAATCGTTTCTAATGTACAAGCAGGTAAGAGAGAATTCAATACCCACAGTACATTCAGATAAGTATATAATCCAAAACATATAACCCTTTTTAAGACAGCCAAGGTTTATCTTTTCACTGTGATTACCTTTCTTTTCTATGTATATGGCCTAAGGCTGTGGCTGGGTGTAACCAAAAGCCCTAGCCTCTGGATCAATTATCTCCTTTAAGAGGTAACACCGAAAAAGTAACCATATAAGAATCCAAAGTTTCACTTCCAGGCCCCTTGCTTCTTTCTTTTACAAAGGCTCATGCTTCTAGAGTCTGGAGTCACTGCAATGAATCCCACTTCTGACACCAACTGCTAAAGAGGCAGGGAGGCCACATTTTCTGATCTCCTCTAACGCACAAGAGGAAGACAGAGTCACTATCAGTAACCCAAGACCTATTCCTCCAAGGCAGACATGTTGCCTCCCTCTAGCCCTTTCATCAACGTTCCTCCCAAAGCACCCACTACCTCTCTCCTGGGTTCGATAATTCACTGCAGTGGCCACATTCACTGCAGTGGCCACACAGAGCTCACAGATTACGAGGTTTATTAGGAAAGCACCAGGCTATAATTCAAGTTCAGGGAAAATGCTCAGTCTCTCTCCCAGCCCACCGTCTCTCAGCCAACAGTCTCTCTCACTCTTTCTCCCAGCAGTGCGTGTCCCTTGGTGTCTCACTCAGCAACGGGTGTCTCTTGCTTCTCTTTTCCAGCAGCGCGTGTCTCTTTCAGGAGCACTTCTTCCTCAACCAGCAGTCAGAGAGACCTCTGTCCCTAGGAGGCCTCCTTTTGAGCCTGGCAGAGTGGCCAAACTAGCCAATCATAGCATCAGAATTCTAAGCACCTGAGAGAAAGGGCGAACTTCCCAGAACATTATTTTGTGCCATGCCCAACAGAAATACCTGAGGTGGGTAACTTTTACAATCAGGAGCTCCTCAGCTGCTCACAGCAAATTCCACCATGGAGTTTACAAAGACTTATGGGTAGAAAAGCCACACTAAGTAATTTACTACACTGCACCTGGGAATTGCCTACTTGCATATAATGCCTTTTGTTATAGGAACTTTAATGTTTAATACAAATATATTAATCTTTCCCTTTATGGTTTGTACTTTTTGGGTCTTAAGAGCCCAGACAGGTTTTTCCCCCCCATAAAAAATATCCTGGAACACCTCTGAACATGAGAAGGAATTACGCACACTCATCGAACCATAAAATTGACAGGATGAAAGAAACTTCCCAATTATGTTTAGTTTCCTTATTTTACCAATTATGTTTAGTTTCCTTATTTTATGTAGATGAATTATTACAGAATACAGAATTCCTGGGGGCAGGGGCTTTATCCAACTTGTTACTTCTTTTTAATTCCCAAACCTATCATACTGCCTGGCACACAAATGGAGCAGATTTTATATAGATAATCATTCTTTATTTTTGCCTTTAAACCTCATTTAGCAAATCTGTATTAAATAATTAGAAGCAGAATAAAGAATGACCACTGGCTTTATATAACACCCAAATGCAAAGCTAGCCACTATATTTTGACATTATGTCTGAGCTAAAATGGTAAACAAAAGGCAGTTAAAAGTACAGTAAGGACTTAGAAAGGAGTGAGTATAAAATGTCAGCTAGAAACAAAAAAAAAAAAAGGAAAATCAGATCTACATTTTAATTGAGATTTATGGTCAACATTATTATACTAGTTTGGAAATTAGTAGATAAAATCTTGTTCATTTAATCCTAGTGTGCTCAAAATATAAAATGACACCATTTATGATTTGATTATCAGCAAAGCAATCGCAATACTAATTAAAGTTACTCAAAAGGTAAATATAATTAGCAGCACCTTGTTACATTGTCAAAATTTAATGGCAAATTAAGAAACCACAAAGGAGTGGGGTGAGTACTCACTTTCTATTCTGTTGCTGCCTCTGATGCAGGAGTCGTCGGTGCTGTGGGTGAAGATGAGTTGTGTCTGGTCGAAACATTGGGGCCTGAGATCTAAGAAAAAGGATACAAGGTCTCAATTCTATCATCTTCAAGATCTGTAGTTATTAAGGATGCTGTCAGTATAGTTTGACTTCGTACAGGTTCACCCAAGGGAAAGTTAAAGTCTAGGCTAAAGAGACCAGGCTCTAAAGAAAAAGATGGCCACATGTTTACATGTCTTCCACAAAGGCCTCTTCTCAATTCCTAAGAGTATGATCATAAAATCTGAGTGAGCTCGCAGTAAGGAAGTATAATTGTCTTTTTGCTCCTGTTTTAAGTGTCTTTAAATAGTTTTAATAAGCTCAGCTTCAAGTATTTGAGAGTGACACAGAAGATACACGATATAGAGTAAATCATTATTTTGCTGAAGCAGGAACTTGAATCCTTTTTCTCATAAAACCAGAGGGCAGAAGCAAGCAACTCAGCTAGTGCAGAGATTAGGGGACTTCTCAGCGTCTAGAGCACACTTCCTTGAGGATACGTGGTAACTCTTAAGTGACGGGCAGTGAGCATATCGTGTGTTAGTGTGTGTTTGTCAAATGGATATGAAGTGAGACAAAGGAGCTCAGGAACAAGGAGAAGAGGTGATGAAAGTGCAATGTGAAAGTGTGCACAGGAAGCAGGTGACTCTTGAGGGAGATGTGAGTCATAAGAAAGCCTGGAGCCTGTCAGGCATTTCTGTGTTGGGCCATTTGAGGATCCAATCAGATCTCGAAACACATAACTTGTAAATATCAAGAGATGTCTGCATCATACCACTAAACATCAGTAATCCAATCCAGACACATGGCTGACGATGGATAAAACCGTGGGATTTGTTGAGTATACCTTAGGTTTTGCAGGTGGGGTCCTGGACCGGGGGGATGCTGCTGTGGAGGAGGTGGTACGGCTGTGGGTGGAGCACTAAAGAAGGCACGAAAGCCTGGTGCTGGGGGAAGCATCTGCCCAACTCGCCCTTGCAGCAACTTGGAATTCATGGCGGCAAGTGGACTACCGACAAATCCCGGGACCCGTGCAAACTGGCTGGGAGACATCCGTCCAGGCTGTAGCTACAAAGAGGAACAAGACCTTGGACTTAGTTAACTGCAGCCCCTCATGTCCCTGGGTGGGACAAATGGTCTGTGCTTGGCTGCTAACGATCAGAGGGTTGAAGCCACACAGTGGGGCCGGGGAGGAAAGGCCTGGTGATCAGCTTCTGTAAAAAAAGTCACAGCCAAGAAAACCCTGGAGCAGTTCTACACTGTGAGACACTGATGGTGACAGGCTGTACCTCCTGCTACAGGGCAAATCCTCTGCATTTATCCAGAGAAAAATGAATACTGCTTCCAATGACAACTTTGAAAAAGTAAGGGAAAAAAATGAGAGGCAGTAGTGAATGACTAACTTCAAAAAAAAAAAAAGGAGCTATTATTTAATGAAAGGAGCTGTGGTGGTACAATGGTGAAGCACTTGGCTGTTAACAGAAAGGTCAGTGGATCACACCCACCAGCTGCCCAACAGGAGGAAAGACGTGGTGATCTGCTTCCATAAAGATGACAGTCTTGGAGACCCTGTGGGGCAGCTCATCTCTGTCCTCTGGGGCGCCATGGATCGGAATCGACTGGATGGCCGTGGGCTTGGTTTGAGCTTTGCTTCCATAAACACTACAGCCTTGGAAACCACATGGGGCAGCTCCACTGTCCTCTAGGGTTGCTACAAGCCAGGATCGAGTGGATGGCCCACATCATCATCACTATCTAATGAACCTCAGGAAAGCAGGCGAGCTCTTTCTGGGCAGAGCTCATCACAAGCTTACCTGTGCTCCTCCAAGAAGCTGTGCTCTCTGAAGAGGGCTGAGAACGGGAGGGACACTTGGAGGGAAAGGGTGACCCAGGAGGGACGAGTTCTAAGAAAAACAAAAGAAAAAAAATTATACTATGAAACAAGTGAAAGAATCTAATATAGGAACTCAGCAGAAATGTAGAATAAACCCAGATACACAAACTCTCAAACTGTACCCAGTCAAGCATCTCCTGAGAGAATACAAACAAGACTAACGTTAGAAATTCTGAGTTCTTTGATCATGAAACCTGTAGAAGCAAGCAGCGGGCTGAGGGACTGAGGCAGCAGGAGAGCATATAATCCACCAAGAACTGAGATTGTTTAAAGATAAGAAAGACAGGTTTGCAATGACTGAGCATGACGGATCATGTCTTCTGGGCTCAGGGACCATCTGACCATCAGATTGAGACAGTCAACTATAGAGACGAAAACACGCACAACTTAGGTGAGGACAGACTTTTCAGTTTGCTTTTGTAGTATGTAAACCTTGACACTCCTCAGAAGGAAGGTTGGGCAATCCTACTTCTGTAGTGATACTGCCTTGGAAACCCAAGGAGGGGTTGCTATGAGTCAGGGCCAACTCGACGGCACATAACAACAACAACAACAGTATGTAAAGCTTAAGAAGTGACAACAGACAGATCTACAAGCTGAAAAATTAAAGCAGGGAGATGCATTCCTTAGAAAAATCAAGCACAGGAGTTCAGAAGGGCAGTCTTTTCACAGGGAGAAATCTAGAGACAAGAATGCATATGCAAGGACGCAGGGAAAGGGTGATCACAAGGAGGAAGTGGCAGGACAACTGTTCCATTGTGAGGCTTGTAATCAGTGTCACAAAATGAAATGCGTTATCAACTGTTGAATGTAAAAATCAATCTGCTTTGTAAAATTTCACTCAAATCACAGTAAAAAATTTTATTAGAAAAGTGAAAAAAAAAAAAAAAAAAAAAAAGACCCACAACTTAGGAGATGTGATATAACCAGGACGGTCACTAAGTGGCACAAATGGCTTGCACTTGACTGCTAACCTAAAGGGTGGTCCTTTGAACATACTCGGAGGTACAAAGGGAGACAGGCCTAGCCACCTGCTTCTGTTAGTATCATGACCAAGATCTCAGCCCAACAGCAGTTAAGACCTATAGGCAGAACACCTACCCTAGGGAGATGCACGCTTAGACCAATCGGCCATGAGCCATCAGAGGGGCAGCATTCACAGAGAGAGACATCTGGACTGACAACAACAATGCTTAGGTAAGAAGGGCACAGGGAGGGGAGTCACAAGGAGGAGAATTTTTTACAGTTTGGGATCATAATCGGCTGTGAAATCAAATGTGCATGAACTGCTGCATATAAAACAAATCTGCTTTGTAAATTTGCACCCAAAGCACAAAGAAAAAAAAGATTACGACCAAAAAAACCCTACAGAGCAGTTCTCTGAAACAACACGGAGACAGTCTCCATGAGTCGCAATCAACCAGGCAGCAGCCAACACGGACAACATACGATGGTTGGGTTCACCCAGGCAGTGATCAGGGAACAGACATTTCCGTTTCCTTAGGCGGTAGAATGACATACCGGGACAGTGCAGAGCTGGTTGGGAGACATCCTCTCACCATAGGGAGCAGGGTAACGCTGTGGCATCGGGGGCCGAACGTGGACAGGCTTCGGACACAGAATCTATCGGGACAAACATATATACAACTACATTCAATTAAGTCAGTTTTTCCTCCACCTACACTCCCTCCCCTCAAGTAGTGGCAGAGACACAAACCTCAATGCCAAGCCCTACTTCTAAACAAATGGCTATGGCTATGGGCTCAAGTTCAGAACCTTTGGTCACCTCCTCGCACCAAATTCAAGCAAAGTGCCAGGTTTGACTGAGAAAGATTTAGCTAATTCTCCAGTTATCCCCACCCTTCCATGCTAGCTGAGGGAGGTACCAGCAGATGCTCTGACTTGCCAATTCTTTCCAAGAGGATGTATACTGGTAGCAGTGAGGGAGAAGGAATGATAAGAAAGCTGGAGGATTAACTAAGTCCTACTCTGAAGACCCTGTGATATGGCCGCCATGCTCAGCATTTGTGTGATAGGCTGGGACTCCACCTTTCGTAAGATAGTGAGCCTAACTAGGCCATACCAACACCACCCTCCCCCCATACCTTCCACATTGGCCTTCCTTTTCAGCTGCTGGTTTCAGGTGGAGGGAAGTCTATGGAACAGGACTGCACAGGCTCTACGGAAAGCAGGGATATCTTAAAGGTAAAAAGGGATGTGGACAATGCTGCGTGTTCCCACTCCCCCCAGCTTTCAGTTCTGTCTCTGCACATGTGTTGGGCAGCCTGCAAGATACTTTAAAAAGGACATATACGCTAAATGTGGCTCCCTACCCTTTTTCTCCCCCAATTACAAGGCAGCAACAGCAGCAGCAAGAAAGAATGTTAGGGAAGGGGTCTCTGATTTGCACTAACTTCTCCTCTAATTGGCTTTCTAATCTAATGCCTACCCACAACTTCCACCCTCCTCCCAGCATCATCAGCTTCCCAAATGATTCTGCCCAGATTCCCAGTATCCTGGGCTGAGTGCCTGTTAATGAGAGGTACCTGTTGGTTGAAGCTGGGTACTGCCATCTGCTTAGGTGGGGTGCCTATGGGGACAGCTCTCACAGGAGGACTCCCAATGATTGGTGACGTTGACCGCCTGGGTAACGCACGCTCAGAGAGATCCCGATCACCTTCTGGGCCCTGTGGGGGCCTCTGGGGCAAGGCATATTCTAGTACAGACACTGTAGGCATTTCCTAATGGAAGAAGTGGTTAAGATTAGCTAACCAGAAAGGTTTTACTGATCTCTGCAGATGCCAAAGTATCTTGAAAAATTAATTTTAAAAATTTTATTTACTTTCAATTTACATATAGTAAAATTTACTCTCTTCGGTGTATCGTTTTCTGAGTTTTGATGAATATATAGTTATGGATCCGCCACTACAATCAAGATTCAGAATAGCTTTGTCACTCCCTAAAATTCCTTAGTATTGTGTCTTTGCAGGCAATCCCACTCCCTTTTACCCCAGCCACCGATCTGTTTCCTACCCCCATAATTCTACCTGGAAATTACTTTTCAAGTAATTCAAATAATCAACTGACAAATCTGAGTTCTAAAAGTTCCCTTCAACTTTCTCAAAATAAAGCAGAGTCAAATGAGCGTTGCCATGGAGAATGAGGAAGGTATAAATGAGCGCTGCCATGGAGAATGAGGAAGGGACATCACCAGGCACAGCTGCCAAGCCCTGGATACAGCACTCAAAAAGATACAGGCCAGTGATGGCCACTTATATGTTTTTTTTCAGTGAGGGAAGTATGATCACAGGAACCAACCTAGAATTTTCATGTAACAGGAATCACATGTGAAGAGGAAATGTTTAATACCTGAGCAAGCAGTGGTCCCCGGATTCGCCTCAGAACTTCAGATCCGTCCCAGATGCTGGAATTGAGACTTCCTGGTTGGGGCTAACAAAAAGGACAACACATACTAAGTCTGGAATCATGTGGGTGCTCTGGGTGACTTAGCTGCTGCTGGTGAAGGAGGGTCCGAAGGAGCCTCAACTTCCAGGGGATAAAACACTGTAGTGTTCCAGAATGTACATCATTCCTCAACCTCATCTCTACCTCTGCAATCACCAGGAATTGCTTTATTCTTTCATTATACTAGATGAAGTAAAACGGCAAAGCTCCATACTTCACTTCACTTGTACAGTTTGCTGCAGTTCTCAAACCAGAGTAACTTACTCACTTGCAAAACTGGCCTGGTCTGCACTGCCCTCATGATAGCTGGATCTTCCAGTTCATTCTCAATCACCATCTTACTAAGCCTTTCTGCCAGATTCTCCTCATGATCACCCAACAAGTCCATCTCGTCCCTTTCTCCATTGCCTGTTTGTTCATTAACTGACACCGGTAGCTTCTCTTCCAGTTCAGCCAGGCGCTCATGTGCTTCCTGCCAATCATCATCTACAACAAAATCAGAAAAAGGAATGACAGTTCATGTTGGAACTGAAAAGTTTTATGGAATTCTCTTAACCAAATGAACAAATCCAACTCCAGAAGACAGGTGTAAAGGCAAGTTTCTACTTAAGAGACATGAAATAAGATTTATACTAAGGCACAAATTTAAAATACACTTTTCACCAATAAAAGCAGGTAATATTATACCAGGAATAACATTGAGTATTCAGATTCACAGCTTAACATATTGTCACTGGTGTTCAAACTATATCCAAAAACTTATTTCTAAACTGATGATAGATATATGTATTACCATCTGTCGGTTTTAAGATTTTTATGGTATTTCAGGTAAAAATGCTAAAGGAAAGTTAGAATCCATTGTACTAGCATACACCCTTTCCTTAGTTTATAATCGGCATATTCTTTACAATCTTCTCCATCCATTCATGTCACTGTTTGTGGAACATGTATTATGTGACAAGCTCTGTTCCAGGCACATGGGCCACAGCAACGTACAAAACAGAAAAGGATCCTGCTGGCCCTCCTGCAGCTTTCATTCAAATGGGGAAAAGACAGATAATAAATAATAAACGTTGTGAGTGAATAAATTACAGACTATATTGTTATTGTTACTTGCCCGCCGAGTCAATTCCAACTCATGGAGACCTCATGCATTGCATACAACGGTTCCAGAGGCTTTTCAACATGCAAAACTGACTTTCTTTTTGGAAGCAGACTGCCAAGCCTGTCTTCTGAGGTTCCTCTGGGTGGGTTCAACCATGAACCTTTCAGCTAGTAGCTGAACTAAACCATCTGTGCCACAAAGGGATTCTCCACGTACGATATTAGAAGATGAAAATGCTAGTATAGAGGAAGAGAGGCAGACTGAAAATTTTAAGTAGGACAGTCACATTGAGAAGGTGACATATAACTAAGAGTAAGAGAGTAGCCAAGGAGGCATCTGGGAGAAGAGTGACAGGCAGAAGGGACAGCCAGTACCAAGGTCTTAAGGTGAGAGCGAGAGTGATGGTTTTCAGAAATAACAAGGGGTGGAACGAGCTGGAGGGAAAGAGCAGAAGACACTAAGGTCAAAGAGGCAGGAGGGCGGAGCTGTTGCAGGGCCGTGTGGGCTATGCTGGCTGAAGTGGGGTCCCACCCGAGGGCCTAATGGGCCATGTTTTAAAAAGATGCCTCCAGCTGCATGTTAAAAATAGACAGGGGTGGCTAATTTTGGAATCCTGGAGGCCTGTCCGCTACGACAGTAAATTGGGTAAGAGGTGGTGGTGACTGGAACTAGTGTCAATTCCTCTTCTATTTTAATTATGTCTTCACTATTTCTACATGCTACCATACCAAAACCAAACCAAACTGACTGCCAGCATCGATTCCGACTCATAGCGACCCCCACTGGGCTTTCAAGGCTGTAAATCTTTATGGAAGCGTCTTTCTTCCATAGAGCGTCTGGTGGCTTCAAACCACTGACCTTCCACTTAGCAGCCAAATGCCTTAATCCTAAACCACGAGAGTTCCTTACACTACTGTACAGTCTGTAGCGTTAACCCTCAGTGGTTTTCCATGGCATTATTTTTGAGTCAGTGCCTAAGCCATCTGCCTGCTAACCAGAAGATTGGTGGTTCAAACTTACCAGCCACTCTGCAGAAGCAAGACTGGGCAATCTACTTCTGTAAAGATTTAGTGCCTCGGAAACCCAGTGGGGCCCACTATGAGCTGGAATTGACTCGACAGCAGTGGGTCTGTTTTTTTTGGTCTACAGCACAGATCTTTAGAATCCCCCTTCAACCCCTCTAGCTAGCCCTAGCCCTTCTTACTTTGATCCCTTCTCTAATTCCAGTGCTCCTCAAGCTCCTTATTCCATTTGGCTTCCATCATAAAAGCTCTGGTCCCTCTCTCCTAACCAAAAGGCTGGCGGTTCAAACCCAACAGCCACTCCTCAGAAGGAAGACTGGGCAATCTACTCCT